ATCAGCCTTTATGAGGTCGTGCGCTGCGTGGAACAAGATGATGTGTCGTCTGCGGCATCTTCTTCTTCGGCTTCGTCTTCGTCTTCAGCTTCATCATCATCATTCGGAAACGATCCACTCCTGCTGTCGATCTACCTCCAGAACGTGCGCCTCATCGCCACGTACTACAACGCGACGGCGCGCAAGAAGGCTGCGCCGAACGCCGACGAGGCGCCGCTGATCCAGCCGACGCTCTTCAACTCCTTCCTCCATCGCCTTCACTCTCACTTCATCCGACGCTTCGAGCTCATCCCGGACGACGTCAAGCGCGCCTACTTTGGCCCACTGCCTCCAGCATCGTCGTCTTCCTCTGCCCACGACGAGCATCGACGCGCGCTCGCGCTAATGCTGGCCTACTACGATCTACCCCATCCGCAGCGCCTGCGACAGCCAGGACAACAGCGCCCACCGCGACCAGCCACGTTCGTGCAGCTGGCCCTTCGCTATCCGCACGTCTCGCCTTCTCTCCTTTCCGCTATTCATCGTCTCCTTGTGGCGTAAAGCATTTTCATCTAGAAAATAGAATTTCTTTTGTTTTTCGCGTGCGCATTCCTTTTAATTAATTAAGGAAATAGCGAATTCTGCATAACTTCCAATTCTCACTTGCCACGGAATTGCCAGCCAATGCGGTGCCTGGTCGAGAAAGCGCAGGGAAAACGTCGAGAGACTGGCGGTCCAGTCTTCAACCACCACAAGCCGCCCGGCGTTTACTAGATTTCCTCGACACCCTATGGCGACTGCCTCTTCGACCTCCCCTAACGGCTCCTCACCGACCGCCAAGCAGCCGCTGTCGCCCCTCTCGGCCGCCAAATCCCTACATAATGGTGAGGCGGCCTCGAATGTAGGCAAATCCACTCCCGCGCCGACCACAGCAGGGACCTCGACGAAGGCGCCATCTGCATCCACAGCGCCCAGCCGACAGTCGCCCACTCTTCCATCGGCCAGTGCTGGTGATTCGAATTTCAAGTTCGATTTCTACGGGTCTACGCCCTCCATGTCGAACCTGTCCTTCGGTTCTTTCGGGTCGCTGCCCTCCCTTAGTTCCATGCCTCCTCACCCCAGCTCGATGGACAAGGGCTACGCCGCCGCTGACGTCAGCAACGGATCCATGCCGCCCACCGACAATGGACGACTCGTGCCGGCCCCATCTTCATCTTCGAATGGCGGTGGCCGACCCCAGCAACAGGCCCCCACCGGGCAGCAGCAGGCCCCGCCTCGAGGAGGAGCGCCGGCCCAGCAATCGCGAGGCGCAGCACAGGGACGACCATCGGGCGGTTCTCAGAATCTCGCTCCTCTTCAGCCGCACCCTACCGCGCCGTCATCAGGCTCCATGCCGCAGCAGCAGCCAGCCCAGCCCCAGGCTGCTCCCTCGAGCCCAGGATCTTCATCGACCGCCGTCGTCCCAGCAAGTCCTGGGCAGTCGGACCGACGAGTGATTAATCCCGTCACGGTGCCCAATGGGCAGAACTTCGTCGACATCACCGAATATCTCAACATGCCGCAGTCGGAGGCCGCCAAGAAGCTGAGCATTCCGCCGTCAACACTCAGCAAGCGATGGAAGGAGGCAGTCCGTAATCGCAAGTGGCCCTGGCGCGTGGTGTGCAAGCTCGACAAGGAAATCATGACGCTACTCCACAACGTGCCCCAGGGTGCGCCCATCCCCGAGGAGATCGAAGGACGTCTGGGCTACCTGATGAGGAAGAGGCAGGAGGAGCTCAAGCCCGTCGTAATCAGATTGTGAGGAGCTACGGCGATCGAAAAGAGGAAGAAGAGATGAGGACGAACGACGAACGACAAACGATCGACGTGTATAGAACGGGGAGAAGGAGGAGGGATGTATAACAGCAACAGCTCTCTTTCTTGTGTGAATAATAATGCTTCATTATTTGACCTTCTTGTTCGTCAGGCCTGTTGTTCTTGAGGTGTGCGCTGTTGCTCACACGACCTCCTTCTCCTTGTCCTCCTCTGGCGTGAGGGTTGTGAGAGCCACTGCGTGCACGCCTTCTTTGATCTCTGCAGGTTGCACACCACAGTGCACAAGGTGAGCGTGTGTAGAGGCAGGAAGTGCAACGTGTGGCGGCGCACCTTGGTCGATCAGGGAGTAGCACAGCCTGTGCCGTGCGACAAGTGACTGTGTGCAGCGTGGGTGTGAGTGTGCCGCAAGCACAACGCAAGGTTGCTGCTGCGTACCTTGCCCTCGAACGCTTTGGAGACCACAAAGACCTTGAAGTGCGTTTCTTGTGTGATGCCGCTCTCCTTCACAAACCTGTGTCCGGCGTGCAGATGCGACTCATCTGTAGATCTGAGCGGCTTAGTGCAGGACGAATCTACACACATGCATTTGTACGCGTACCTACGATGTTGAGCTTGACGGGAAGAAGCCCGCTCTCCAACTGTGAGGTCTGTCAGCCACAAGTGCCCACGGCGGAAAGAGAGGTCGGGCACACCTTTTGCTTCATTGCCAGCCCTAGGCGGCGCACGCCAGTTCCCTTGCTCATCTTGTGCTGCGGATGCAAAGTTTCTTTTTTCCCGGAGTACCGCCCGCACACAACAAGATCACACGACAAAGATGAGATGAGAATGATGTTCACAGGGCAAGATTTAGTGGTAGTGGAAAACTTTTTACAGATTTCTCCCCTTGATGAGGCGTCACCGCGGTGTTCCTTTCGAAGAATAGTCGCTCCCGCCTCTCCTCCTCCGCTCCTCTTCCATCCTCCCCACACAGGCCAAGCTATAAGGATAATTAACATGATCAACAGGCCATTCTCGAAAGGAAGCAGGGTGCTCCTTTTAGTCCATCTTGAACATTTCGTCGGCTGGTGTTGGGTAGGGAGATGTGTGAGTTGAATGCAAGAGCAAAAACTTGTACTGCAGGAGGAAGTGATTGAAATGCAAAGTGCAAATGTGTGTGGGGGGGGTACCGTCGTCCTTGTTCTCCTTAGGCTGTTTCACCTTCTCCTGCTTCGTCTGCAACAGTTGCGGAGAGGGAATGTCAGCGCATTCGTCGGACATGCAGCGTTTTGGGGCACAATCCAGCAATGATTTACCTTGTCCTTGGGGCTGACCTCAGGACCAGTGACGCCAGGGATGAAGGCGATGTTGTTGGGCGGGGTCTTTGCCAGAGGAGAGTTCCTCAGAAAGAGGAGGGCGCTTCTGTCATACACAATGCGCGTGCCTTCGCGAACATGTATGCTCACGATTAATGGGATGCAATAAGATGCAGGACGGCAAACTGGAGAACGAATGAATCATAATAAAGATGGAAGATGGAAACGGTGGATAGCGTGATGCGGAGCAGCAGCAGTACCTCCAGGGGTGGTGGCGTAGATGGTGCCGCCAGGGGTGGTCGAGAGATCAGCAAAATTGAAGTTGTCTGGCACACGGTTGATGCTGATGGCAGGGGTTCCGCTGGGGCTCGTCATGACGATTTATCTTCCTTGCTGGTAGTAGGATGGTGTGGGTGGGAGAGATGGCCGAGCGCTCGTCGATTTATTCTCTCGATCCAGTTGTGCGGCACAGCAAAGAGAAGACCCACCAGCGCCGGTGTGCTTTCCGCGCTGTCGCGCCCGGTTATTACCGGCGACGGTCGAACAGATTACGGAATTGGCCAAAAGAAATTCGGGCGGAAATCCGAATGATTGACAATTTTGAGAAAAATTTGATTCGAATTTGTGAAAATTTTGGCTATGCGTGTTTTTCTTGGTCTTGCGGACAATGGAAGAGCCAGGACTGGCGGAGGTGGTGGGTGATGTGCTGACCTGGTGGTTCGGCATCCAGTTCTGGGCCAAGGGCGAACCGAAGAACCCCACTGCCCACTATGACGACCTGTGGCGGCAAAAGTACAGTGCCCTTCCCACAAGACCATCACCCGCAGCAAGACCGTCACCACCGTGAACCTCACTTGCTCACTTCGCGCCTTTTCATGGACCTGTGGGCACTAGATGGTTCGCCAAGGAGGAGCTCACTGCCATCGTCGACAACCACATCAAGTAAATGCCATGACGAGTAGTAGAAGGTGAGAAAGGCTGCGACTAACCTCCTCCACACCATAGGGACAACTTTCAGGTCCACGTAGACAAGGCCATCAGCGGCGAATATGACCACTGGGGCAAGGACCACTACGGCGCCCTGGCATTCGTCGTCCTAGCGGTAAACCTCTCCTTTGTCGCGAGATAGAGAGAGGAACTGGTTGCTGACTTGCATTCACTTCGTGCAGGACCAGTTCACAAGAAGTACGTGTCAACAAGTGGGTCGTTGTGAAAGGCGCAATGGATCAGCTCATAAGCCCATTGCCAGATATCTACCGAGGGACAGCCAGGGCCTGGGCAGGCGACGCCAAGTCGTTGGCCATCTGCCTGCAGGCGATCGAGTCCGGTCTCGACCAAAGTATGTTCTGTGCCCGCACTGTGCCCAGTTCGAGTGAGGTTCATGCTGCGTGTGTGTGCGCGCTCTTGTGCGTTTCAGAGTTGAAGCCCGTGGGTCGTGCCATGCTCTACATGCCGTTGCTGCACGCGGAGGACGCCGCGCTGCAGGCCAAGTCCGTTGAGCTGTTCGAAGCGCTCTACGAGGATGCCAAGGCCAAGGGCGCTGGGACCCTATCCATCCTACAACGCTTTCACGTAATCTCAATCCGACACAAGCAGGTATACAGGCCTGTGCGCATGCCTTCGTCAAAGACCACCTTCGTCGCTGTCAATTCACTCTTCGTCGTCGTATTCTTCTACAGGCCGTGGAGCTCTTTGGCCGCTTTCCCGAGCGCAACCGACACCTCGGGCGCCAGAGCACCACGGCAGAGGCGGCGTACCTGGCCGGCTGATCCCTCCCTCTCCAGTGTGGCACGCACGCACGCACGCGCGTGTCGTGCGGTGCGGTGGTGACTGAACAATGTAAGTTGTGTCGTATTGGTGCGCAGGAAACTGTAGAACGGGAGAGGGAGAGTGGAAGATGTGGCGATGATGGTGGTGCACGGCGAGAGTGGATCGAGCCCACCTTGAGGCCCCCGCCCCTCATCATTTGAGGTTCTGGAGGTCGCCGCCGATGAGGCTGACCTTCCGGTTGGAGTACTGGGCCGAGAGGGCGAGCTCGATGTGCTTCCGAATCTCCTTGGCGATGCGCGTGAGCTGCGAGATGCGGGGGTAGGTCTGCGCGATGCTCTCCTGCAGCTCGTTCCTCTGCTTGATCGCCGCCATCTTGGACCCCTCCACCGAGTTGACCACCGACAGGTGCTGGTTGATCTGCCCGGCCAACCGTTCCAAATACCTGCGTGTGCGGTGGTGCGTGTGTAAGCTCTCACGACACACGACACGGCACACGGCATGACACACGACACGACCAACGACACGATACAGCTTCTTTGGGGGGGGGGGCGCACTTGTTGGAGTTCTTGATTTCGATGAGCTGTCGGGTCTTGCGCGCGTGCAGGGCATCGATGACGGCGTTGACGGCCTTAAGGAAGGACTCCAAGCCTTCCTTGGTCTGCTGCACGGAAGCCGGCGCATTGCGTTGCTGCTCCTCGTGCAACCACGACGCAAAGTCGTCCCGCACATCGAAATCGGCCCGTCGCTGCCTCAGGAACACCTGCAGCTGTTGGATTCAACAACACACAGCACAGCACGAGCGTGAGTCACGCTAGTCACGCACGACACACACACACACACACACACATATACACGCACACGCACACGCACACGCACGCATGCACACACAACGAACAGCGGATCAAGCAAGCGACCAGTGGGGGCCAACCTCGAGCAGATCGGTGAGGAAGAGGTTGCGGAGATCGGTATTTTCGAGGAGAGTCTCGGTGCCGTGGCCGGACGACCCGACGCCGCCGCTCGGGGCACCGCTCGCGGACTCGTCGGTGCCGGCCGCCTCCATTTCGATGGCAGCCTCGCCCTCGGCCTCGAGCGAAATGTCCCAGCTGATTCCTCCGACTGTGTGTGTGTGTGTGTGTGTTGGATAGAGTGCTACCGAAGAAGGGGCAAATGGGGGTACCGTCGACTGTGGCATCAGAGGGTGTGTCTGCAGACTGGGCGTCCGAGGCGGAATCCGTAGTGATGTCCCAGTTCAAAATGGCGGGCTCTCCGTTCTCTCCCGCCTCGCCTCCCTGCGCCATACATTTTTGCGAGAATAATTAGATCCGCTCATATATATATATATATAAAATAAATGATTGAAGTGTAGTATGGTATGGGCGTGGGGAGAAGAAAGGCACCTCAACGGAGATGTCCCACGAGATGGCTGCGGGAGCGCTCACGGTGGAGTCGTCGCCGCTGGCGGCCGGCTCGTCCAGGGAGATTGCGCTCCAGTCGATGGCGGGCGCTTCACCTCCCTCGACCACGTCCGCCTCGGCACCGAGGTCCCAGTTTATCGTGGGAGCAGCGCCTTGCGCGCCGCTAAAATACGTTGAAGATCGCCAATCGAGTGAGTAAGGGTGTGTGCCCGTGTGTGTGTGCGTCCGGTGTATTTAATGGGCTCACCTGTCAGCAGGGCTGCCGGTCTGTAGGCGTTCATTGCCGTTCTTGTAGACGCGCATGAGCGTTGGGCACACGTCGATGTCCTCGGTGTCCCTCTCCTCCTGATGTGAAGAAGAAACTTGACATTAATAAACAATTTAAATAATAAATAAATAAATAAAATCAATAAAGATAAAATACAGAAAACATTAGAAAGTAATACGTGCCCCGGAGGGAACAGAGGCTGTGTAGTGGACGAAGGCGCGGTAGTACTGGTAGGCCTTCTCCACGGTGTCGGACGACTGCAGGAGGGCCGCGACCTCGTCCAGCAGCTTGGGCAGCTCCGAGACCAGACCCCGCAGCTCCGTCTTCACGTCGTGGCCCGGGATGCCCATGGCCGCGCACTCCTTCTCGTACCGGTTGCGGTATTCGTTGGCCGATTTGTTGTATTCGTGCTCCTTGCGTGACGACTCCTCCACCTGGTTGCGCCACCGATCAAGCCTCTTCGACAGAGACGGACTAGCCACCACAACGACACGACACGACACGACCAACGACACGACCAACGACCAACGACACGACACGCGGCAGCGTCAGGCACTCATTTTAGTGCAGGCCGCAGGGGGGTCAAGGTAGCGGCGTACATTTCGTATTTGACGGTAGAGATGAGGATTTCGGCGGCTTCACCGAGGTAGACGTTGTTGTGTTCGTAGCTCTTGACGATGTCCTGCCAGTCCTTCATCCGCTTGGCGCTGTACTGACCGAAGAGGTTGCGTTCCTTGGCCTCGTCGGTCTTCTCCAGCGCCTCGAAGACCTTCTTGCACACAAAGTAGTGCACGTCCGCTGTGCCAACGACACACATACACCGCACATCGAATCGAACACACCGCACACACCGCACACGCGTCAGGTGGGTGAAGGCAAAAGGTGAGGCGGTGCTTGCACGCGTACAGGGTTGGTAGTCCTTGAGGAGGGCCTGTATCTCGGCATTGTCGGCGGGTAGCTGAGGCAGGGCAGTGGCGACCTTCTCCTTGACCTTGCGCAGCTCCTGCTTCCAGTTGGCCTGCAGCTTCCTCCGATCCACCAACCACTCTGTTGTTGTTTCCCATATCCAAAGCGAATCCACCATAAGTTCTGCTGGCCTCGGGCACAAGAAGAAAGGGAAGAGAATTGGAGGAGGATGCACAAGAACAAACAAAATGGTGTAAATTGATGTAAATGATGATGAGTGGGGAAAGAGCACCGAGAAGCTTGTGGAAATGGATGTCGATAGGCTCGTTGACTTCGCCGTCAAATCCCTCGCCCACCTTGCTGATGCCTGCCACCAGATTGGACAACATCTCTGTACCACACGCGAGCAATCAATCTGGATTGTTTTTCTTTGATTTACTTGGCAAAAACAAAACGAAATTTTTGATTCTTGTCTCGTAAACGCGTTTGGTGTTTGTTTCGATTTCGATTTCGTTCACGGGCCTGGTCGCTCGTTGGGCTGCAGCGGCGTTGATGGTCTTGGCGCCATGCGCATCGTGGCCAAGGCATCGTCCCCGGCGGCCGTCGGCGCGGTGATCGGCAATGGTGGCGGGGCTGCAGCGGCAACATTGGACGCACCCCAGCTGGTGGCGGCATTGATCTGGCTCAGCTTTCGCTCCCAGTCCTTCGGCGTCGTGGTGGCGGTAACGGCAGCAGCAGTGGTGGCTGATGACGGTGCGCCGCCGCTCTTACTCTGCTTATCCTCCGCGTCTGTCGTTCGTGCAAAGGCGCTGGTTAGGCGCGTGTGTGTCGTGTGTGTCGTGTGTGTCGGGTGTGTCGGGTGTGGCGGGTGTCGTACTCTCGGACGCTTCTTGCAACAAAAATTCGACCCAGAGATCGGCGAGGGTCTTGTCCTTGGGGGCGGCCTCTTTCTCCTGACCGCCCTCGCCACCGAAGAAGAGCCATCGCCGCTTGGGCTTCACCAGCCCCACCTGTTTGTTGGAAGAATTAGGCATCGCCATCATCACCACCACCATCAACAACATGCGCAGCCCGTCGACGCTGTCTTGCGCGCGATCGAAGCGCGATGCCGCGATGACGTTGTGCAACGCGTACCTGGATCTTCTCGTCCTCGGTAAACTCGAGGATGGAGGACATGATGTTGAGGACCTCGTTCTGGTTGGACTGTCGCGAGAAGTAGGTCACCACCAGCTTGGCCACAAGTCGCCTGATCACACGATGTGTGTCGAGACACAGAAACGTCGCACGCAATAATGATAATGATAATGATACGGTAAGCAAGCAAGCTCGTCGCGTGTTGCAGCGGCAGCGGTATGTTGGCGAGGGCGACAGATATTCCAGATACGTACTTGTCGACAAGCGTCTTGCCATTCTCCGCGGCCGAGTGTAATCGCCGCATGCTCTCCTCGAAGGCCTTGCGAATGGGCTCGGCTGGTTCGATGAACCATCACAACGTTAGGTGTGGTCTCGCCTCACGTTCGTCGACGTGATCGTCATTGTGGGGGGGGGGAGAGGAAGGAGGCACATACCTTCCTCGCGGAGCTTCACCACCTCGCGCGACTTCTGCGAGAGCTCCTCATGCAGCTTCTGCATCTGCCTCTCGAGCTCTTCACATCGTCTGTGGGCTTTCTGGAGACCGCCACCGGTGTCAGCCAAACTCTCCGGTTCGTGCGCGATGATGAAAGCGGAGAGGAAAGGAAGAGTGAGAAAGAGAAGGACCAACAAACGTACCGACGCCTCCTCCAGATCGCGGGAGAGCTTCCTCGTCTTGTCCTGCTCGGCAGCGATCTCTTTGTGGAGGCTGGCGATCTCGTACCTCACCTGTAGCCAAGTCAGGGGTGGGGCGTTTGCATGGGCGGCGATGGCGATGATGATTGATTACCTCGGCCTCCTTCTGGGACTGGAACTGTTCAAGCACTGTTTGGAGGTTCATCAGCGCCATCGCGGTCTCCTCGCATTCGATCTGCTTCTCCTTGTACTCTTCCTGCAGTGGGTTTTGTGTGAGCCTGTACAGAACACGTATGCGAAAAGAAGAAGAAGAAGAAGAAGCAGAAGCAGAAGCAGAAGAAGAATGAGGTACGGTCAACTGGTCGTAGCGCGACAAGACATCGTTCATCTGGTGCTCGCGGCCCTCGTAGTCCTCGAGCCTGCAGCATTAGAGAAAAAGCCAAAATTGTGAGCGGAAGGAGGCTCCGTTTCAATCCGGTGTTGTGGGCGGTGTACGTCTACCTCTTGGTGAGCGCGTCGATCTTCTTCTGCAGCTCGATGAGCTGCAGGTTGTGTGTGTCCTCGGAGTCGATCAGGTGCATGCGCAACCTCTCCGAGTCCTTGTTGGCCTTCTCCAGCTTCTTCTTGGCCTCCTCCAACTGTGGGCCCAGGTGATGAGACGACATATAATAATAATACTAATAATAATAATTAATAAACAAGACGGCGGTGTTTGTGAGTACCTGCGAGCCGAGGAGGGTGACTCTCTTCGCGTCCGCGGCATCTGCGCCGGCCTGCAGTAAAGCCTCCCTGGCCTCGTCCAGTTGTCTGCTCGTCGCGTTGCGATCGCACCATGCATTGGCGGCTTTGGTGAGCCGCCTGCCAGAAACTACAACAACCACCGCCACTACACCGAGTGAGCTACGTACTGCTTCAAGTCCGCACACTGACCGCGAAGCTCGATCAGTTCCTCGCGCAGCTGCTCGGTCTGGCGAGGTGGCGGGTTCCGAGTGTCAGTAACAAGGCGCGACAGGGCGTGGTCAGAGAGCAGTACCTGCTTCTGCGCGCGCTCTTCGGCGGACGAGAGGACCTGCTGGTGCTGGTCTCGGCCAGCCCGGAGTTGGTTCAGCTCCTGCTCCATGAGCCGCTGCTTGTCCATGAGGTCGGCCCGCTCCGACTCCCACCTGAGGTCCTTCTCGGCCCACTCCCGCCGCCGCAGCTCCAGCTGCCGCAGGCTCCGCTCCAGCTCCGACTTGTCGCGCTCGAGGGCCTGCACGCGCTCGACGTTCTCCCCGGCCCCGCGCAGCTCGTTCATGTCCAGCTCGCGCCGCTCCATCTCCAGCTCGCGCTGCATCTTCTCCCTCTCGGCCGCATCGCGCTCGCGCTGACGCTCGGCCGTCCTGATCTCGGCCTGCAGCTGGGCGCACTGTTGCCGCAGCCGCTCGGCCTCGCGGCGCTCGGTGTCGGCGAGAGCCTGACTATCGGTGGCGCCCGCCTGCGCCGCCTTCTGCGCGGCGCCCAGCTCGGCCTGGAGCCGCTGGGCGTCGCCCCGCAGCTGTGCCTGTTCGCGGCCGGACGCTTCCAGGGCCGCGGCCAGCCGCGTCTTCTGCTCGGCCGCGCCGCGGAGCAGCGTCTCCAGCTCCTCTACGCGCTTCCGCTGCTGCTCCGAGGCCTTGAGCTTGTCGCCCACCTGCAGCGCCAGGGAGACCACCGTCTTGCCTCGGCCTTTGGCATCTTCCTCGAGCTTAAAGCTGCGGAAAATGTTCATGAGCTCTTCTCGCTCGCCCAGAAGGCGCTCCTTCTCGGTGACCAGGGCCTGCATCATGCCAATCGTGCCCTCATCCTGGCTCCTCAGCTGCGCCGGCACACGGCACACGGCACACGGCGCACGGCACCACCGCACACGGCAGGCGCACGGCACACGGCACGCGCGCAACAGCAAAAACGGTCTGGTCAATAACTGGTGCACGAGTACGCCTGAGACAACGAAAACAACAACATAGGCGTGGAGGGAACCTTGGCCATCGCGTCCTGCTGGAGGTCGTGCTGTTGCTGCAAGGCCATCACGCGCTGCTTTAGTCCGTCGTTTTCCTCCTTCAGCCGGCGGATCGTCGACGCCTCCTCCGATCCCCTGTGCTCCTCCGGCTGCGTGGCAGGCACGTCGGTTGGCACGTCGGTCGATGGTGGAGGCGCTGGTTTCGCGGCCAGTTGGGCAGCAGCGAGGTCTTGTCGCGCCCGCTCGAGGTCGGCCACCCTTCTCTTCTCCTCGGCCAAGGCCGCGTCGGTATCCTTGAGTCGCGCAGCGCACGCCTGGTAGGTCTCCTGCAGGAGCGTGAGGTCCTGATTGTGTGCCTCCACGATCTTTTGCAGTCGCTCCTGGTGCTGCGCCTGCAGAGTCGCAATCTCGGCGCCCGAATCCGTCTGATTGCGTCGTGTGTGCGTGCGTGTGTGTGGTAAGCAGTGGTGCGTGTGACGAGGTACCACCAACCGATAAGCGTGAAGCGAGAGAGAGAGAGAGAGAGAGAGGTGGGAGCCTACCTTCTTCTCTGCAGAGAGGAGAGCCACGCGCTGCTTGAGCCGGTCGTTCTCTTTCTGTGTTTGGTTCAATAGAGTGGAGAGCTCTTCTGTTGGCCGTCACACATGTGTGCACAGGGATGGCGTGAGGCCAAGTGACAAGAGCACGGAGTGTAAAGGAGCGTGAGCGCACTCTTCTCGGCCTCAATCTCCGACAGGCCCTGCAGGGAATCTATGCTGGGAGAGCGGGCAGGCAAAGGGGCTCCCACGTTTCCCGGTCCAGCTAGACGGACACGGCATGACACGACACGACCAACGACACGACACACGCGCGACCAGCATACGTTCAGCGCGAGGCTAAAGGCAAGTGTCCGGGATGGTCACGGTACCAGACGTTGGGAAGTCCTTGGCGCCGGGATTGCCGCGCACTTCGTTCAGCTGTAGGTTCTCTCTCTGCAGAGAAGTGATTTCCTCCTGTGTGTGTGTGTGTGTGTGTGTGTGTAGAGATGTGGGAGCGCACTATGGTAAGTTGAGATGGCGCATGCATCGGCGTGTGAAGGTGTAGCGTGTGCAAACCTGCTTTGCCCTGAGCTGCTTCTGCAGTTTGCTTTGGCTGGCGGTCCACTCCTTCTGTCGATCCGCAAGCTTTGTGTGTTGTGTGTTGTGTGTCGTGTGTGGTGTGTCGTGTGTGCGTCGTGTGTCGTGTTATGTGCGATGGTGATGGAGAGAGTTTGTGTCAGCGCCTTGCTGGACTCACTGTTAATGAAATGGCGTAGGCACCTCTCGCTTCTGTGCGGCGATGACGGACTTCAACTGCGCAACCTCGTCGCCCTCATCCGCTGCCCCGAGCCCATCTTCCTCACCGAAGAAGGCTTCGTCTGAATCTTCAAGGCTGGCTGGGTGGCGGTGATGTGTCTGTTGTGCTCCATTAAGGCCTTGATCTTCATGTGTCTCTTGATCTTCGTTCTCCTCCAGGACGTCTTCATCTTCTTCCTCATCATCAGCAATCACCTCCCTCGTCAATTGGCTCAATTGATCCGTAAAAGCTGAAAATCGTCCCCACACCGATTCACTCATTTTTGTCTCCCTCTCCACTCGTTACCACGTTCGGTTCAATTCCTCCTCACTTGCCTCCCTGTTTGCGTGGCATCGATTAGCAACAAACTTTTATTTCTTTCTTTCTTTTCTTTTCCAAAATAATCGAAATGCAGCAAGGGGAGGAATCGAGCAGAGCGGGAGGAGAAGCAAATGTAGCGGCAGAGGTGGTGGATCTGTATGGGCCAGACAACGAGGAGTACATGAGGACGCCGCTCGTCTCGCCCTACCCGGTGCCCAAATTGAAGGTGCCAGAGGGCGTGAGCCGGCGATTCGCGGCTCGAAGTGGTGCGCCACAACAAGGAGGGGGTGGTGGTTACAGAGATCGAGGCGAGGAGGATCGGTACCAACGTTCAAACCGCAGCGAGTACGAGCACCATCCACGGCCACCATTTCGAGATCACCGCGAAGGCGACCACCAAGGGTATGCTGATCATCAGCCGCAACGGCCGTACGCTTCACACAAAAGGAGCAGGTACGCGCCACTTTACCTGCTTCGCTACGTGAATGACACCCCTTTTTCTTCTTCTTCTTCTTCTTCGTGCGATGCAGCCCCGACGACACACGAACGACCGCCGACGATCCGTCCAGGCGACGACGCACCGACTACGCAGAGGATGTGCACACGCGCGACCGCCAGGAGCGACACCGTCAGCAGCAGCAGCAGCAGCACCACCAGCACCAGCAACATCCACCCAGGGACGCCTGGTGAGCATGCTGCCGATGATGGCGGTGCACGCACAAGACCACCACGTACACAATGGAAGAGGTTTGCATCCACCCACAGGGTCCTTCGGGGCATGATGACGAAGAGTTGTGTTTGTGTCCAAAGGTAGCAGAAAGAGAGAGGTGTATGTAGCACGACGATCTAGTTGATCTTGAGCTGGGAGGCGGTGACCAAGTCCATGTTGGCGATGTCGTCGTAGCTCTTGCGATAGCCCAGAACGCCGTTCCAAGGGATGATGAAGCCTCGCGACTTCTTGCGACGCCAGCACAGGCCCGCCACCAACAGGCACACCAGCGCCGCGATGGCGCCGCAGGCGCCGAGGATGGCCCACAGCACGGGTCCGAGGCCGTCGCGTCCTCCTTCACCACCTCCGCCCGCAGCCTCCGCGGCAGACGGGCTTACGGAGGCCGACTTGACCGGCGGGGAGCGTGAGGCCGACGCCGAAGCCGAGACAGCGACAGAGACGGAGGCGGTGGGCGTGGGCGTGGGCGCGTGTGAGTGGGACGACGAAGGCGTGACGGCGGGCGAGAGAGACGGCGAAGAAGTGGCGGAGGCGGAGGCTGATGGCGTGGCCGAGACCCTTGTGGTAGAAGGCGTGGGGCTCGCCGTAGAGGAGGTGGGGGGCGTGGGCGAGACAGATGGGGATGCGGGTGGTGACAAGCCCGACGTCGCCGAGGGCGACGCGCTGGCCTTCGAAGGTGATGCGGAGGGGGTCGCTGAGGAAGTGCCAAAGACCTCGGGGGAGGCCACGGAAGAGGGCGAGGCGGAAACGAATGCTGTGGAGGGAGAGGGCGAGGGCGATGGCTCGGGGAGCGCCGAGCAGTTGCAGGTGGTGCTGATGAGCACCGCCGTCGGGTGACATTCCAGAGAGTCGCCCGTCTGATGGTGTGTGCGGGTCGGCTAGCATCAGCGCACCACCGCCAAATACAACATTCAAGGTCAGCGACGTACCACAATGAAGGTACCGCTGATCACCCTCGTGAGCCCGCATAGACCGCGCACGCTGGTCAGGTTATTGTTGCCCTGAGCGACATGGCAAATGTGAGCATTTGGCAATAGGCAAGTGAGAGAGAGAGAGAGAAAGAGCGGACACTGGGCTATGAGGGTTTACCGTGACAAGGACACTGGCCACGCTGTCGAGGCGATAAAGGCCATCCAAGGTGGTCAGCGCAGCGTTGTTCTGAAGTTTTACGATGGCATACGTTAGCTATGGCATGAAGTGGGTAGACTGGCGAGCGTACCTGGATCATCAGATCGCCTACAGTAAGATATTGCAGCGAACCCAGGCCCGCGACACTGGTGAGGCCCGCGTTGTTCTGCACAACCAGCAGGTCAGCGGTAAGCCACAGCTTTATACATCGACGTCAGTAGTTGTTGGGCCCATACCAAGATGGACAAGTCGCCGTTGAGCGAGGACAGGCCGATCAATCCATCGATGTTGGCTAGCACGAGGTTCGACTACGTGGTGACGAGTGTCGGGGTGAGTAATGATTGAGAGCTAAATGAGGGCTCAACTTGACAACTCTACCTTCACGTCAACGCTTTCGCCGACGAACGTGAGTTGTTTGAGCGCGTCAATGTTCTCGAGCCTCGCGTTGTTCTGGATAGACGACAGATGAGGAAAGGTGAGGATTGTTCACCTCCAAAACTGTTGAAGGCGAAGCAGTAGGTGGTACTTCGATGAAAACGTGGAAATCCACTCGAGCGAGGCTGTCAATCCCTTCCAGACTCCGCAGCTCCTGGTTGTACTGTAATCGCAATGATGTGAGGCGGTGGGTATCTTCTGCTGGCGGGAGAACCAAGTCCATACCGTGATGCTGAGGTCATTGCCAATCGTCGTGAGCGCCTCCAAACCGGCCAGCGAGACGAGCGCCCGATTATTCTGATGTCGTGGAGAACATGGGAGCTGTCAGCAGCTGTACTCCATTGGACCGCAAGAGGGAGGCCAGCGTACCGACAGAGACAAAGATGCCTCGATACTTCGGACATTGCGGAACCCCTCCAGATTGTTGAGCGACGATTGCTGTGCGAACAGAGCGAATGGAGGTGAGAACAAAAACAACGAGCTTACCACGCCCAGTGGGCGGTAATACCGTGACCACGAGATCCCAGCCTATGGCCGTTACCGCGGTAAAGGCTCTCCCGAGCGATGTCAGAGCCACGTTGTTCTGCAGTGCCACGAAAAGCGGCTAAGACTCGGTGATGACGAAGCATTGGCCAGTGGGGGGGGGGAACGCTTACGCTGAGGATGACCGAGTTGGAGATGTAGCTGAGACCTCGTAGCGCATCCACGTCTTCCAGGAGTTTGTTGGACTGTGCACAGGGTTGGGGTCAAAATGTTGTGGCCATGTCCCACGAGAGCTATGGGAACGCACCGAGATGATAACTTCTCCATCAATGGTGGCGAGGTTCTCCAGGCCTTGCAGGTTGGTCAGAAGTGGATTCTCCTGTGGTTTCATGAATCAGACCCTTTACCAACGCGAAAAAAAAAATGTGAAGAGGGCAGCGTACGCTGATGTAGAGGCCTTTCGTGCTGGTGAGGTTGGCGAGGCCATTCAGGTCGACCAAGGCATCGTTGTACTGGTGATGAAGGCGGACTGGTTAGAGAGAGATATAGTAAGCGAGCGCCTGGTGTAAAACAGTACCTGTATAGCCAGATCGCCGCCGGGAAGCGTGTTCAGACTGCGCAGTCCGTTAACGTTTGTTATAAGTGGATTCCACTGCGCAGGCAAATGTTAGCAAACTTTCAGCAGTGGGGCCCAGGCGTGGACTCCAACGCACTTCGATGGCCACCAATCCTCCGACGCTGCTCAAAGACCGTAGGCCGTTGATGCTTGTGAGGTTGGTGTTGTACTGCACACACATGCATGTTATTTGCCACTGGCAAAGGCCGCTACAACTTTGGGGTGGTATCGATCGCACCTTAACGTTGACGTACTGGCCAACAGATTTGAGGGAGGAAAGGCCATCAATGTTGGTCAACGCATTGTGCTGCACAATGCAAAGCAAGACAACTGTGTTAGTGGCTACGGTCTGGACAACCTAGAAGGTTGGTCGCACCATGATGGATACGTAGCCCTCAACGCTCTGGAGATTGAGAAGCCCATTCAGGTTCTTGGCGTAGGAGTGATACTGCGATTTCACAATAATGTTATTAAAACCGACAGCGTGGTCGCGAGCTGCACCAGGGCAGGGAAGGGCACCTCTATGATCATGTTGCCCGTTATCCGCCTCAAGTTGATGCACTTCGATATCTGCGCTCACAGTGGAATAGTGGTTGTGGTCACCAGGGGCAAAGCATAAAAAAGGAACGGAGAGGGGAGACTCGCACGTCTAAGAACTCGTCTACAGGTTGGTTGCCCATGATGAAGTCGCCCTGGCAGTCCGAACCCGAGGGGTCGTAAAGCGGGTCGTAGCACGGGCATTGTTGGAACCGCTGAGACCAGGTGTGTGTGCATAGGGAGAGAAAGACGCAGAAAAAGAAGAGGAGCGGAGAAGGAAGAGTTGCTCGAAGAGCAGAAGTTTTCGACATAACGTTTAGGGATGAGATCAAAATCCTCCCTTGCGTAAGTAGATGAATTCCGAAGATTGAGGTGGAGCTGAACCCAAGAGTTATAGGTTCGCTCAATAAATAGCAGAAAGGGTGATAAGGAAAGGATAGGAGAAGAGGGAGATGCAAAAGATGCCTAGAGAAGAGCTGCCTTTCTTGTCGAACAAAGAGTTATTGTCGACAACAAAACAAAAGGAAAACCCAGAAAATAGAAAAATAATGCGAGGATGGGATATTTACATATTGACAAGCGGCCATCGAATTGTGTGGCTGCAAGGTGAGAGGGATGTGACATCTATCTACCCTTGAGATGCTTCTTGACCCTTTTGTTGGTCTTGGTGATCTTGACATTGAGCTCGTCCATTCCACCATTGAGCCGATCGAGCTGCTCGTTCTGCTTACGCTGTGAAGGAAAGAGAACCAAGAATGTGAGCTACTTCCGCGGAAGATAGCAACGTACGAGTAAGCACAAGTACCACTTCCTTCCCCGCTTCCATGCTCAGCTCTTTCACTGTATGAAAGAGAAAGAGTTGGCTTGTCAGAGTCAGGCTGAATGTTGGCGGGCCAGTAGAATCATACAATTACTCACGACATCGTAGACATTGTCGAGGTCCTTGTCCTCCTCTCTCCGCTTCTCCCACTCATCTTGTGGTGTCGGTTTCTCTGTCTTTGGCTACACATCCCAACGAATAGTGCTGTAAGCGCTCTATCGTGCATGGCGTGTGAGGTAGGGGAGGGGTACCATAGCAGCGGCAGGTTGTCTATTCACACGCTTGCCTGACGCCATCAACACCCACTCCTCGTCTTCTTCTGTATAGCAGGAAGAGTAGGTAAGCTTCGGACGTCGCAGGGCAAAGGTCATGAGTACCGATGACTATATCTCCCCTGTTCATGCTACTGCTTCTCGTCTTCCTTTGCACAGGCCTTCGCTTTGATTCCGTCACCGCAGGCTCGGGTGGTGGTGGTGGAGCGACGAAATAGTTCACCAGCGCGCCGGTGTAGGACCGCATCCCGCGGAGCAGCCAGTCAGCGGTGTTCAGATCACCTTCCATCCGCTCCATCGCTGCCTCGGCTCTGTCCAATTGCTCTGCAACGCCGGCCACCAGCACGTAAGCCACAAATAATAATAATAATAAATCGCGTACCGCCTTGGTGGTGCAGCTGGTCAAGGGTAGCAGTGGCTACGGCTTTGCTTTCCTCAGCTGTTCGGAGCATGCGCTTGGTCCTGGGCAGCTCTTCTTCAAACTCGTGCCCTGCCAATTCGCACGACGTCACAATCTGCTGGATTCGCGCGGGGGGGGGTGTGTGTGTGGACGAAGCCTACCTCGGTAGAGAGAGGAGAGCTGGTTCGGACGTTCTTCCGCATAGCTACTCGCCTTTGTGGGGGTCCTCCCAGCGTTACCATCCAAAGCCTGGTGCTTCCTTCTGCTCTTATCCATCAGATGCGTCAAGAGCAAGATTGCAGTTGTTGAATTTCGGCAGAAAAAGAAGGTAGCAGCCGACGTGGACCACCTTCTTAAAGCTTACGGGTATTCTTTGTCCGGACCGCCCAGCGTGGGAGGTAAATAAAGAAGAATAGGCAAGCGAGGTTGACGGTGTGGCCGCTTCTGCAGCGCTGAGATAAAAGGGCTCTTCCACTCCTTCAGCGATACACACAACCATCACCTCTCATGTCACCTCCCGCATACCACATCGCCACCGGCACGCTACTCCTGTTCTCCTGCCTGGCACTCGCCACCGCGGCACTCAGTGGGGCGGCCTCCCGGGGTCTGCCGCTGTCGCCGGAGGGTCTGGGCAAGGCCCACTATTTTGCCACCGAGCCCGACGGACAGAACAAAACGGCTCCGGTGTGGCCCTTCCAGTGGAACGCGACCCAGGCCAAGATCAACCCGTTCAACTCGCACATATGGTGGGCCAAGTTCTACTACGATTGGCCCCATGGCTGGACCAGGTACGTCAACGCACACACAAAACACACAACACCGACGTACGACTGACGAACCATGGTTGTCCACAGGACCGACTTCATGAATGGGTACTACAGCACTGAGGACAAGTGGTCGCTCAACTGCAGCGTCGTCTTCGCCAACAACCAGGTGTGGTTCACCTTCCCCGAGGAACAGGGCTGTTATCTCGACCACGACGGCCTCGGCACCAGTACGCCTTTCTATCTTGGAGCCCTCCTTACCCTGAAGATTCGTGTTACTCACGCATGAGCGTGCCCAGTCTCGCCGTGGTGGTTGCAGACCGGAGTGTACAAGGGCTCGGACAACTTCCGGGGCCTCTACGCTGACCGGTGGACTCTCCCCGAGCTGGGCATCGACTACTTCGCCCGCAGCGACTCTATCCACACTCCCCGTACGGCACCACCACCCGCGACGCAACATGAAGAACGAAGAACGTGACCACCATCTCGTTGTGATTGTGGACTGTTGGTTTGTGCAGTGCGGAGTACCAATCAAGCGGAGGACCCGGGCGCGACGGACTACCTCGATGTCGTGCTGGGGCCGCAGGACCCTGCCCTCTTCAAGCTCCCGACCTACTGCAAGAACATCATCAACAAGGGATGCCCGCCCGACTGGCCTTGAGCGAGCTACATTCTTGGCGTTGCGTGAATGTCATAATAATTGAGCAGCTGCATATCCGTTTCTAGAGAGGGGGGACACTAAGCAAGGTTGATTAGGGCTTGGGGTGAACGTGCTTCCGCTCGAGGAACTTCTGCCACTCCTCGTGCACTCGGGCCTTCACTTCGTCGGGAGTGCCGTCCGCGCTGATCACCACATGCGCTCCCTTCGTGCGCTCCTCGTTGCTCAGCTGAGAGTTAATCCGTTGGAGCGCCTGGAGAAAGAGAGAGAGCAAGTCAAGGTCAGTCGTGCCGCGTGCGAGATGAGTTCTCTTTTTCGCCGTACATCAGCTTCCGATAGCGAATTCCTGTTCATCAGTCGCTGCTTGGCCACTTCTACCGGGAGCTCCAGCACCCATACCTCATCGACCACATCTGTGATCACAGACAGAGAAAAGGGCACACGACACGTATTAGTCTTTCGTCTTCATGAAAATGAAGTAGCAACAATTTCCATGAAGAGGCAAGGAAAAGTTGTGGATGATGGTTTGGCCTTTTCTCGCCCAACAGGCGGCCACTCGGCTCGCGGGTACAAAAGGCCGAGCGAGCCGAGCAGTAAGACTCAATCCTTGCGCTCGGGGCAAATGCACGTTAGCTGTGACCGTCTCTAGGTATGCTCGTGCCACTTGCTGATTGCAAACTGCAATCCCTTTAGCAGAGCGTGGTGGTTGGGGCAACCCGCCACCCAATTTCTGAACGGCCTTCGGGCCACCCTCCCAATTCATGACAAACCACCCCACCTCATTGCTGTGCGTGCGTGCGTGCGTGCGTGCGTGATAAGGTGTGAAGCAGCGCACCCTGCCAACCGGCCTCAACCAGAACCGCGGCTTCAAACACGACGATTCTGTCTTCGTTGCTGTGCTTGGCCTCCTCGCGCACGGCTTCAAAGGCACCCAGAGCCAGCTTTCGGATGGCTGAAGCGAAGGCAGCATTGCCGAATGAGATGGGGTGCAAGCAGTGACGATGGTGGATGATGCAGGCTGTGAGGGTACCCGGCCACACGATGTCGGTGAGTTGCTTCATCTTGTCCTTCTGGCCAAAGACGATGGCACCCAGCGCCCGTCGGTTGATGCCGCTCCCATCCTCGAGCTCCACGCCCTTGCCGAAGGTCTCCACGACCTGGCGGTAAGCATCCGTGCCAGGTGCATAGGCCTGGTGGCCCAACAGATCAGCATCGATCTTCACCGCACCCAGCTCCTCCTTCAGGTAGGTGGCAATCGTTGACTTGCCTGGATTAAAACGGTGATTGAACGAACCATAAATCTCAAAAATGCGTTCAATCTTGCGTACCTGAGCATATGCTCCCAGTCAAGCCAATTACAGCAACATGTCCTGCCATCGTCCTATCAATTATTTTGATTTATGAGAGAAAAAGAAGAGAAAAGGCGAGGCACAAAGCAGTGCTGAACGAACACAGCAGTGAGCACAGAGTAGAGGCAGCAGATTGGAGGAAGATGAGTGTCATGCTAGAGACTAGTGTGGGGGATATCATCATCGATCTCTACACCGATAAGTGTCCCAACACGACCCGTAATTTTCTCAAGCTCTGCAAATGCAAGTACTACAATGGCGTCCTATTTCACAACGTGCAAAAGGACTACATTGTGCAGACGGGCGATCCCACTGGCACCGGCCGTGGAGGTGAAAGCATGTTTGGGTAACGCTGCCTCCTAAGATTTATTAGTTAAATTAGTTGAAATGATGAAGATGGCGACGCGCCGGCATATGCGGCCAAGGGGCAAGGGCCATTTTATATTAAATTTGAGGCTTCCTCCAGGTGCAAACCAACCCAAGAATTGGTTGTTTTGTGTATTGGGAAGCCAACATTTATCAGAGATTGTTTTGAATTAAATATCAACAAGAGATGGCCTGGTGCCGCCTCCGCAGCAGGCTGCCCCACACTTTGTGGTGTGATTAGTTCTGATCCTCTCTGGAGGGCTACTGTGTAGCCGTACGAGTGTGCAGCCACATCACACCACTAACCGTCTTCTGTGTGTTCACAGATTGCTCTACGGAGACCAAGCTAGGTACTTCGAGGACGAATTCCATCCCTCGCTCCGACACAAGGCACCAGGAACCGTATCGATGGCCAATGCTGGCCTCCCCAACACAAACGGATCTCAGGTACACTCACTTTGTGCTCTATTCACTGGCGATGCTTTGTCCTGTGAGTACGCTTGTCCAACACCACCATCTCTTCTCTCTACAGTTTCTGATCACTGTGGGCAGCAATCTGGAATCGCTGGATGATCGCAACACAGTCTTCGGATTCGTAGCCGAGGGCATGGACGTGGTTCAGAAGATCAACGAGGCCTTTGTTGACAAGGACGGCGTACGTGCACGACTTTGTATCTCCCCTCCGCTCATGAAAGGCAGAAACGCGAAATCAATGGTCTTTCCCTCCCACCCTTCTACAGGCCCCGTATCAAATCATTCGCATTCGCCATACGCATATCCTGGACGACCCATTCCCCGACCCAGCCGGTCTACCCGTCCCCGATCCTGACAAGTCGCCGATGAGGCCCGTGCCCGACCAGTTCAAGAACAGGCTCGAAGAAGGGCAGGAAATCGATCTGGTACTAGTCGTCCCCTTTTGAGACCGCTGCACCTTCGCCTTCACTCGCCCGCTCACACTTAAACTTACCGTTCGTGCTTGTGTGTGTGGTGTGGTGTGTGTGTGTGTGTGTGGTGTGTGTGTGTTAGGAGCAAGATGAAAAGGCCAAAGAGGAGGCGGATCGGCTGCAGGCCGAAATGGAGGCTCGGTCGCGTGCCGAAGTGCTGGAGATGATCGGCGATCTCCCCGTGGCTGACGTCAAGCCGCCGGACAACGTTCTCTTCGTGTGCAAACTGAATCCCGTAACTGAGTCGCACGATCTGGAGCTCATCTTCTCTCGCTTCGGCACCATTCTCAGGTGAGAACCCTTGGCCTCTCCCGCCCACCTCGAACCCACTGACCTTCGTACCTTCTCTTGCGCAGTTGCGAAGTGATTCGTGACCAGAAAACCGACGACTCGCTTGGCTACGCGTTCATTGAGTTCGAGACCGAAGCCCAGTGCGAGCAAGCGTACCTCAAGGTAGACCTCTTACGCGCGCGCAGATTGCGTATGTGCTTGTGAGTGCTAATCAACGCTCATTCATTCCCTTGTTCGCGCGCGCAGATGGACAACGTGCTCATTGACGATCGCAGAGTCCACGTCGATTTCTCCCAGTCCGTGTCCAAGCTGCGTCAGCAGTACGGCGTGTACGACACGGGCTTCTTCGGCGACCGCTACCGGTACACCACTACCGATTGATTCGACACCCGTCCCCCACGACTCGCGCCTTGATCAAAACCTCACCAACCGGCGCAATAACTTATTTTAGGAAATACGTGGAGAACCTCCACATCGGTGGTAAGACGTTGGATGAGGAGCAGGCCGACAAGCTGCAGGAGAAGAAGTTCCAGGGACGCCGAACCGAGCGGGCCGGCGGTGGCTTCCGCGGAGGCGCTGGCGGCGGTGGAAGAGGCGGCGGACGTGGCGGATTCGGAGGCGGTGGTGGTGGACGAGGCGGACGAGGCGGCTTCGTGGGCGGAAGGGGCAGAGGCGGTGGTGGTGGCGGCTTTGGCGGCGATGAGGACAGGCCTCTCACGGCCAACTACCGGAAGAGAGAGCGCGACCAGGCAGAGAGGGATGATACCCGAGACGCCGACGCCGACGCCGACCGGAAGAAGAGAAAGGAAGAGGACCGCAGCGATGGCGACAGGGACAGGCACTCCGGCCGGAGCCGTTGGGACCAGCGCGACAGGAGGGACGACCGCGACCGAGACCGCGAGAGGGAGAGGGACCGAAGGGACGACAAGAGCAGCAGAGACAGAAGAGACGACAGGGAACGCGAGAGGGAGAGGGATCGGAGGGACGACAGGAAGGACGATCGTGACCGCGCCAGGGACGGTGGAGAGCGGGACAGGGACCGCGACAGAGGAAGAAGAGACGACAGAGACAGGGACAGAGCGCGCGAAGACAGGAGGCACTGAGCCCACCGCAGCGGAGAGCGTTCTACATAAAATAAAAAATAAAAGAAAGATGTGCGCCAGCAAAGATTTGAGTTTTAGTTGGTGTCTTTGGCGGATTGCTGGGTACGGCCAAGCCTCTCTAGTCGAGCCTTTCGTTGCTGTTCCTCGAGTTCGCGCATTTCCTCGCGGGAGGGCATCAGGAGCGTGCTGATGGTCATGCTCACCAGGATAACCGAGCCGAAAATCACCCACCGCCCCCGCGGCATGTTCATCACGCGACCCATCGGCGTTTCGCCCTTCTTGAGCTGCACTCTTCCGCTGGCCAACTCGCTCTTGAGCTTGCTCCACTCGCTTTCCCCCTTCTGCGCCATCTGGGTTTAGTTTATTTTTATTTTTATTGTTTTTTTAAAATCTTTCTACGCGGAGAAAAGATGAAGAAGAGGAAGAAGGCGACCAAGAACTGTTTTCGCCGCACAGACCACGCGTCAGGCTGGCAAACTCAAGAGGCAACGGAGCGTTGTTCTACAAGCAGACCAGACTAGACAGAACCAAGACCATAACTGCAAGCAGTAACCATGGCAGAGGCTTCTACGTGCACGCAACCAACCTCGGTCTGCCCTCCCACCACCCATGAGAAGCTCAACGCCGGCGCCCTGGCCCCTCGTGAGGCATCTCGCCTCCTTTCTCTCTTCGACAGGTGAGGTTCTTTCCGCCTGGCGCTACAAGAAGGACGTCCTTCTTCCTCGTTGACTTCTGGTTTTTTGTCTGCAGGTTCGTGCTGAGCGCTGAGACAGCGGGCAAGGGTCCGGCCGACCGTGCGGAATGGAACCTGCTGAAGGCCAACATCTTCGAGGTCAACTGGTTGCTCGCCGCTAAAAGCGGTAACGTCGCCAGCTCTTCTCTCTGTGTGAAAAGAGCCTTCTTTCTTGGGCGGCCTCTCCTGACACCCTCTACCGCCTGCAGGCATCAAGGCGGCACTCTCGCTCGTCGACCTCGACCCCACGTTCGCCAAGAATGAGCACCACTCCGCGCTCACCATTACAGTCAAGGGTGCGCTCACCTCTCAGGTCTTCATGGCCCTGCGCCAAAGCCTTCAAGACCCTCACTGACTTCAACTGACCGATCCCCGCACAGACCAGCCCTCGGTGTTCCTGACGGTGGGCGATATCGCGCAGCTGGTGGTTCTGCTGGAGCAGCAGCTGGGGAAGAAGGGCATGTTCGACTACAACAACATCCTCAACTCCACTGTGGGCGCCCTCAAGCTCGCGCTCGCGGACAAGATCATCAACTCTGATAGCGAAGAGGCTGCCAAGAGGAGAAAGACCAGCGGTACCCCTGCCCTCATCCATGACTCTCCTTTGGCATCACTCCCACCATCATCAGTTCTGACCAGTTGGTTGGGTTGTAATGCTCGCCGATCAGACGCGATGGACGAAGAAGAGAAGAGGAAGCTCTACTGGCCCAAGGAACTGACAGCCGAGGGCATACAGAGCATCGCGGGCATGGCCATCACTCCTTCAGGCTTTGACGACACGCTTGAGGACGAGTACGCGCTTCACATATCTTAATGATATTATCGACCTACTTATGATTTGCGTGCACGTTACCTGCACAGGGCTGGCTACGGCACCGCTTCCCTGTTCGGCGCGCCACACATCTTCTACCCCAACGCCAATCTCTTCGACTCGCGTCACATCCCCTTCGCGATGGGTACCTGCCAGCACCGCCCAGGGCTGTCGAACTGTTCATGCATTGTTTTGAGTCGCTTTAACTCTAACGTGGCGGTGGCTTACACCGGAATAATAATAATAACAGCGCCGCTGGGCAACAAGCATGTGCGTGTGTACCGCGAGTACGAGTACCAGTCCATCTACACTCCCCCGCATGAAATCGTCCATGCCCTGCAGACCTTGATCTCCGATTCACAGGTACGTAGCGATCAAGCCACGCACACACGCAGGCCACGAGGCACAGTGGCTAACGGTGCTCACTGTGCGTTAGGTCGATGGATGGAGGCACGAGTGGGAAGCTTCAGTGGCGTGCCTAGGCTTGCTGGCGCATGTTGCCCGCAAGTTCCCCTTCCTGTATATTGATGGTCTAGCCGAGGAAACCATGCTTGGCTTCTACCAGGCGGTTGTCTGGGGCCACTCGCAGGTTCGTATATTCTCGCCTCCGCCATGCGCCCCGGGGACACTCTGCTCCAACTCATCACGCGCGTGTTGCGTTGCACAGGTGTCGGAGGATGTCAAGGCCGGCTACCGCCAGTGGAGGGACTCAGGCGGCAAGATCGACCCCGTGGGCCACGGCGACTCGGGTCATGCCGTCCACCACAACCCTGGTAAGTCCCCTTCTTACGCTTCGCTCACCCCCGCACCCTCTTATCATCGCTCACGCATCTGCTTCCTCATTGCATTAGTTGGCACCTGGTACTGCAAGGCCAGAATCTCCATTGAGTCCTTCGAGTACCAGCGGGAGGTGCGTGGCGGCATTGATTCACACACACACACAACACACGCGCGCAAGTGGCAGTGTTACTCATCACCGCTCTATTTTACGCCACTAGGAGGACAACTGCTTCAGATTCCTGCAGGAGATCCTGGTGTCGATCCAGAAGGCTGCGGCGAGGGCGGCCGCAAGCAAGGACACGAACAAGGCGGCCCCCGAGGACGACGCGTCGGCGAAGGAGGACGAGGACCACCCGCCCCGCGCCGGCTTCAAGGATCTGGAGGAGATCTACCTGCGTGGCGGCACCGACAAGACCATCGAGGACTGGGTGGTCGAGCTGCTGCCCATCGAGACCGTTGACTTGCCCTGATGAAGCTCCGTGGACCGCACCAGAGAACCAAGTCGTCTCCTTCATCCAACCTCAACCAACTTTATTTGTATTGTTTGATTACTGGCCACAGTGCCAAAGAACGTGAACAAGGTCGCAAGCATTTGCTGGCAGGCTTGGGAGTCTATGTAGTTAGTCCATCTAGTTGCGACAGTTGCTGTCCACTGCGCAGGGCGAAAAGAATGGCTGTGCTAGGAGGTTCGTTCAATGCTGCGTGGTGACGAGAGGCTTGGTTGGGAGACTTGGCTCCTTCTCGAGGCTCCGACTATGCCGCACTCCGGTACAGGGGTCTAAGAATAAGAGACAGGACTTACTTGCATCGTCACTTACCGTTTGCATCCTTTCTCTTTCGTTGGCTCCTAAATATGTGAGTACCAGTAATAAATAAATAAATAAAATAAAATAAAATAAAATCAATGGAGGTGGCCACGTTCAAGTTGGAGCGGTGGTTCGCGAGGTACGAGTTTGCAGTGCGGCACCTGCTGTGCAGCAGCGACAGCGAGACCCTCTCCGTGCGGGAGCTGCTCGCACTCGATGCCGAACCCGAAGTCGCCCTGCCTCCTTGACCTTCGCCTCGGCTACACTGGCACCGCCGCTGCTTGCACCCCCCCCCTCCTCCCAAAGCCTCTTTTGATTAATCATTGGATCAAATTTGCATTTGGACGGCAGAGACGCTGGGCTTGCCCGCGTTGAGAGCAGCCGTGGCGGAGATGTACGAGAAGGTGTGCGCAGACGACGTGTTCGTGGCCGCCGGTGCCGAGGAGGCCATTTTCCTCTTCTTCACCGCTGTGCTGCGACGTGGGCAGGCCGTCGTGGTCCACTACCCCGCCTACCAGTCGCTCTTCCAGGTCCGTCTCGGCAAACACGCTCGCGTGTGCGTGTGCGGTAGCGAGTGGTGCATGGGTGGTGTCGGGGGTGGCGCACTCGTTCTGACGTGACGGGGCGTCAGCTGGCGGAGGCTGCGGGTTGCGAGGTGATCAAGTGGCAAACGACACAGGAGGGCAACTGGGAGCTCGATCTGGAGTTCCTGGAGAACACTTTGCAGCAGCGCAATGGAGATGGCGCTGATCCTCAGCACAAGGTACACGCTTACCGATCGGCAGTCGTGTGTGCGCGCGCTCACCGATACGGCTGCATACAGGTGGCTGGTATCGTGGTCAATTGCCCACACAACCCCACCGGCTACTGCATGGACAGAGCCAAGCAGAGCCGACTGGTCGAACTCGCGCGTCAGTACGACGTGTTCATCTTCTCCGATGAAGTCTACCGCTACCTCAGCCACCCCCGACCCTGTACGCCACGCCACCAAACCGCCCGGCACTGGTGTGGTCTTGTCTCGTCTTGTCGTATACATCACACTGACACCTACGTGTGTTCGCATCGTGCGCGTCGTGCTGCGTGTGCCCTGTGTCCTTGCCCACGCAGCCAGCGAGTTGAAGAGCGATGATGTCTCTCCCATGTGCGACCTCTACGACAAGGCTGTGTCGCTCGGGGTAATGTCCAAGTCCTTCGGAATGGCCGGATTGCGCATCGGTACACTGGCTACCAGTCGCTCAGCACACAAAACGTTTGCTGCGTTCACACAGGTCTCATGTGGGTTCTCGCTTGCGTATGTTTGTGTCGCAGGCTGGGTGGCGACGCGCTGGCAAGAAGCCAGGGCCGCGATGGCGCAGCTGAAGGACTACACCTCGATCTGCAGCAGCGGCACCAGCGAGTACCTCAGTGTGGTGGCTCTACGCAACAAGGAGAAGGTCCTGGAGCGCACCGTCGGCATCGCTCAGCGCAATCTCGCTCTCCTCGACGTCTTCTTCACCGAGTTCCCGTCCGTCTTCTCCTGGGTACATACCGTTCGCTAGGCCACTGCACTGGGCGTTGGTGTTCCAGGCCGAACATGTGAGCGCGACAGGTGAGGCCAACGGGCGGCGCCACAGGTTTCCCGCGGCTTCACTTCGTGCCCAAGCTCAAGGCGTATCTCGAATCGGTAGCGGCCAGCCAGCCCAAGGCGACTGATGGCCAGCCACGTCCGCTCATGGAGGTGTTCTGCGAAGACCTGGTCGTACAGCAAGGTAATCCACTCGCCTTCTTGAAGAGAACGATGATCCTTCGTCGGCTCATCACCACATTCGCGTGTGCGATGCGTGCAGGTGTACTCCTGCTGCCCGGCTCGTGCTACGACGAGTCCTACGCTGACCACTTCCGGCTGGGCTTTGGCCGCGCCGACATGAGCGCCTCCCTCGACAAGCTGCGCGCCTACCTGCACACCGTCCTCGACCAACAAGAATAAAGCAACTCGTTGAACCCGCCACATGAACATAACACGCGCCACCGCATGACCATCTCGCCTCCGGAGGCGGCCACATGTGCCTGGTGTACATGAAGCACGGCTGGAAATTTCCCTTTTGTTTTGGCGGGAAACGCGCAGAGAAGCAACGAAGTGAAGATGAGACGCGGACGGCGAGTGCGCAAGATGAAGCAAGAGCAAGAGAAGAAGGCCAGAAGAGGCGGAGGAGACGAGAAGACGAGTGCAGAAAGGGGAGGTATAAAGACCGGTAGTGGGCACAATGAAACGAAAGGCAGGTAGCCAGGACACAAGCACAGCCAGAGGCCAAGAACAACAGCAGAGTGATCGAGAGCGAGAGGCGAGAGGTACTTCTCGATCTTATTATTGCAATCGAGCCTCGAAATTGACGCGTTCGATCTCTTTCTTTGCCATTCCTGCACTACAGAGATCGAGATCGAAGGCAGGCTCATTGAACAACTGATGAAGGCCGCACTCCAGCGCAAGTGGGAAAGCATCGGGCGGCACGCCTTGCCCGTCCTGTCCGCCGCTCCCAGCGGCGGCCGGGCAACCTACGACCGCCTCTTGCAGGCCATCGGCGACGCGCCCGTGGTCATGGTACACTCGACCCACTTCGATCGATTGGAAGCGCGCGCTACCGGACTTACGAGCTGTCGTTGGGCACAGATCGGGGAGGCTTCGCACGGTACTCTGGACTTCTACCGCGAGCGGGCGATCATCACGCGCCGCTTGATCGAGGAGAAGGGGTTCAGCTCCGTCATCGTCGAGGCCGACTGGCCCGATGCGTATCGCATCAACAGGTCTGTTGGGCGCCTTTCTTCTCTTCTTGCTTCACCCGATGTTCATGCTTGTGTTCATGTCCTGCTGCTGAGCAGGTTCGTGCAGCACTACCCCACAACCAAGGACAAAACTGCACAAGACGCGCTGGGCGACTTTGAGCGCTTCCCGAAATGGTTCGCGAACCCGATCGCCCGCTTGAGATTGCAACAGCTCCATCACTAATGCTTTTCTTCTTGTTCACACGTCGGTCTAGGATGTGGAGAAACACAGTGGTACTGATGACGACCCACTTCCCTGTGAAAAGAATGTAGCAAATGGTCATCGCTCAACCGTTTGTTCACACAATGTTCACGCTTTGCATGCGTAACCACAGGTGCAGGAATTCGTGGAGTGGATGCGCGAATACAACGCCAACCGCGACGTGAGGCAGCGGGCCGGCTTCTATGGCATGGACCTCTACTCCTTCATCGCCTCGTCCAACGAGGTCCTCGAGTACCTGGAGAAGGTTGGTGCTGCTACACTGTCCACCACACGTGTGTTGTGTGTCGTGTCGTGTGGCACTCACCGCTCGGCGCGTGTGGCTAGGTTGACCCTCAACTGGCCGAAGACGCGCGCGAAAACTACGAGTGCTTCCTCCAATACGGCGACGATCCCCACGCCTATGCCCGCCACACGGCATTCGGCATGTCTCCCACCTGCGAGAAGGTACTCAACCACCCCACAGAATCGACTCTCGTCCGCGACGCCTCACACCCACCACCACCGTGCTGACGTGTTGCAGGAAGTGCTGGAGACGCTGAAGATGATCCGCGCAAAGACCCATGAGCGCATGCGCAGGGACGGCTTCCTGGAACACGACGAAGACTTCTACGCCCAGCAGGTACTGTGCCTGGAGCCGCATTCTATGTCATATAGCGTTGGGCCAGAGGCTCCACTGACTGTTGTGTCGATGACGTGCCCATGAACTTCATTTCGTTCAGAACGCGGAGATTGTGAAGGACGCTGAGGAGTACTACCGGGCGAGTGCCATCGGTCGCGCGGACTCGTGGAACATCCGCGACTCCCACATGGTCAAGGCCATCCACGACCTCATCGGCCACCGCACCAAGCAGACCGGCGCACCCGCCAAGGTGCGTACCGATCCGCTCTTCTTGCTCCGTCTCACTAGTGCGTGACCGCGCGGAGTGATCGGCTGACTGACGCTTGGTACTTTATATATCCCGCTTGCAGGTGGTCATTTGGGCGCACAACAGTCATCTGGGCGATGCACGGGCCACGGACATGGGCAGAAAGAGGCGCAAGCACAATGTGGGCCAGCTGCTGCGCGAGCAGTGCGGATTCAATAACACATTCAACATCGGTACAGCACACACGGCCCGCTTTCATACCAGGTCATCCACCAGGCTTCTTTCTCATTGCATGCACGCGCGCCAGGCTTCACCACCTACACCGGCACGGTGAGCGCCGCCAGCGGCTGGGGCAAGCCACTACAGAAGAAGAACGTGGTCCCGGGCAGGAAAGACAGGTACAATCCACGGAGCTGTGAGTGAGTGTTTTGTGTGTCGCTTGTCTGTGGTGTCATGTCGGCTGAAATCGACTCTGTGTGTGTGTGGGCAGCTGGGAAGGTGTGCTGCATGAGGCGAGGCCCAACGGCTGGCACGACTTCATGCTCATCTTCAACCAGGTCAAGAAGGCCAGCGACAGCGAGGCCCGCCTGGGCCAGTGGTCCCACGTGCTGCAGGGCGCGCTGCGCAAGCACGAGGTCGACACGGAGCTCACCCGGCTGCTCAGCGACGAGTTGCTCGAGCGGTACATCGGCGTCATCTACCGCCCCGACACCGAGCTGCTGTCGCACTACTCCTCCTCGGCCCTGTCGCTCCAGTACGACGCCGTTATCCACATCGACCAGACCGAGGCCCTCCCGCCCATCGACCCCCACCCGCACTTCCCTTCTTCCTCTTCCTCGTCATCCTACGCCTAAGCCCCCATACAGCAAGCAAGCAAGCAATCAGGCCTTTCGCTCTCTTATTCTGTACATGAAGACGACTAACAACAACACCATTAAACGACAACATCAACAACACCATCATCATCAACCTTGATGGTGATGATGACTACGTCGACTGGGCAGCGGGGGTGGTGGTTGGTCGCACGAAGGCGCGGAAGGGGTCGCGTACGGGGCTCTCGACGTGGTCGGGCAGGGGCGGGAGGTCGCTGCTGGTGATCTCGACGGCGCGCAGGGTGGGCTCGCGCGGCGTCGGGGTCCACTGGAGCAGCTGGCGTCCGTTGGCGGCGAGCCACTCGAGCTCCTCCCACGCGATCCGCTTGCCGTAGCGCGAGAACGGGTTCACCATTAGGTCCGTCACCGCCCCCGCCTTCTTGAAGTCCTGCACCAACTGTCATCAACAAGCAGCTTAGTCGATGTGTCGTGTCGTGTCGTGCGTCGCGTGCGTAACGTGTGGTGGTACCTGCAGGCCGGGCACGGCGACGCCTTCGACGCTGCCAAAGCCAGCGGTCTCGACGGCCTCCTCGGCTCGGGCCTCGGAGGTGAAGGCGGGCACGGTGGTGCGTGTCGTGTGGGCCAGGTCGAGCTCGAGCAGCCGGTACTCCATCTCCTCGGCATCGGCGGCGGCGCCGGCGGGCCTCCTGGGCGGCTCCTTGAGGAGGACCCACATGTCCGATGTGAGCAGCTGCCGCAGGAGCTGGTGCCGGAGGGTGGGGGTGAAGGCGGGCGGGGCGTTGGCGAGGGCCACCATGGTCTCCTCGACGTGGTTGGTGGCGAACTGCTCGTCGGTTTGATCGTCGTGCAGCGATGCGGGGAGCTCCGCTTCGACCTCCTGTCCCACTGTTGGGGCGGCAGCACTCGGAGCTTCATCTGGCGATGTGAGATTCGAATCTGCCGATGCACTGCTGAATGCAGACCGAGATTGCAAGTCGAGATTTTGCTTTGCGATGAATTGGCAGTTGCGTGCAGGCTGCCAGCAGCAACGTTGGGCCAGCGGCACAAAAGCAACCCTTCGCATTGACCTCATCACTGCAGAATTTGTAGCATAATTCCAATCTAGTTTCAGATTTTGTATTTTTAAGTTGGAAGTTTGCATGGCATTGCCTTTTATGGAATTATGTACAGAATAATAATGTAAAATGGGGCACCAAAAGACGCGTGAGAACACCATGGCACATAAGGTGAAGCAAGACGTGGTATTTGCACTGACGCCAGACAAGGCGTGGGAAGCAGTGAAGGACTTCCAGAACATCAACTGGCTTGCAGGTGCCAAGGTCAAGGCCACCGGCAAAGGGATGTTGAAGAGGAGCGTCAAGCTTAACGACCTCGAGGTGGAGGAGGAACTGGTCCTGGCCCGGGAGAGCAGCGAGGAGAGGGTGCTGGAGTGGACCATCGTCCGTACCTCGCTTCCAGTCACCAACTGGGCGGGGCGACTGAGCGTCAGGCCCGTGGGCCGCTCTCGATCTCGGGTCTCCTTTGAGTGCACTTTCGACTCGCTGGACCGAGACATGAAGGCCCTCTTCGCCAAACTCTACGACGAGGGCCTCAACAGGATCAAGGTCTCCTGTGAGGGCTGACCGCCTCTTTGTTTCATAATCAATTCCACTTCAACTACGCGATTACAAGTTGGAGTGCACGCAGCAAGAAGGCGCAGAAAGATGGGAGATCGCAGGTGTTCTCTGTTCGAATAAATAATAACTACACCAGTTGTAGAATCAGACGGCGAGAGAATACAGGAGGAGGAGGAGGAGAGAGGCGATAAAGCAAAAAAACAAAAGAGGAGGCGAAGCGAGCACAGCGAGGACAGTCTCGCGAGGCTTTGGAGGGGACTGCACGCACGCGCACAGACCTCGTCTTCCTGGCTCACAGCTGCTGCAGCTTTAGCGGAGGAAGTAGAGCTGGGTGTGCTCGTTGCGCTGGAAGTTCGTGGAGGCACCCGAGAAGGCGTACTTCATCACGATGTCGACCTCCCTGCATTGATGCAATGAAGAAAGGGTGAGCACCTGCTTGTTGATGTTGTTGAAGGACCACATTTCTTCTTGACCAAGCAAAGAGAGGAGAACGCACCTCGGGTTGACCTTGCCATTGGAGCAGGAGATGGAGCCCTCCAGGACCTCACCCCTGTTGATGGCGATGACGTGGTCTGTGTAGAACACGGTCTGCTTCCAGTGGGTGTAGGGGTTGCCGGGACCGGTGGAGAAGCTCACGGGGGCGTCACCGAGAGTGAAGTGAATGTCGAAGTAGGCGACGAAGGCGTGAATGGCGTCGGACCTCCGGGCGTTGAGCCTGAAGTTGGACGTGAACGTGGTGTCGGTGGGCTGCATCTTCATCACGTCGAGGGTCTGTCGAAGGCCAAAAAAACCGGTGAGACCCCACAAACCATAAATAATGCATAAAAAATAAATATAAAACATAAATTTTGAGAATATCTGTTTTCACCCATAGCGACACGAGTACGTGTGGTTGGCACGTCCCATGCTATTAAAGTGGTCGGAGTTGTTGTAGCATTGTACGCAAGCTGGCGAGTGGGAGGAACCCAGCCCGTCTGCTGTGCTCAATGCACCGCTTACGCGTAAAATAAAATAAAATAAAATAAAAATGGTGGTTGAGTGTACCAGCACGGGGTACGAGTCGGTGATGACACAGCCGCCATCGACGATGTCGACGAGAGGCTCCTGCATGGCGATCTTCTTGATGCAGCTCATGTCAAAGCCGTACACATTGTCCCACCAGTTGATCTTCGACTCCTTGTACTCAGCATCCTCGATGCCGCACAAGTAGAGGGTAGCTCTGTTGGGGAAGATGAGACCGCCAGGTTTCTGTGTGCGCACAACGAGCCGAGCGAGTGACGCGTTAGTCGATCGGCTGCCGCAGTCTTCAATACTGAGCGGGGACAAGCGACGGTACCAGCCACCGGTCGCGCGCCACGAGCACGGTGGTAAGCATGTTCTCATAGATGAGGAAGTAGCCCATCCTGGACAAGAGAGAAAGAGGAAGGTGAGCCACTTGCTGCCCTGATGGCGTGCATGCAAATTAGGGGAACGTACCACTCCGAGATGATGATGTCAACGCCATCAATGCCCTCGGGGAGGTTGATCTCCTCGACCTTACCCTGAATCAGCGTGATCACTGCAGAAAGTAGAGGATAAACATCATGAGCTTCTATGAAAAGGTGCAAATTTAAGAGAGATTAAGCGTACCATCGCTGAAGCCGTTGGCTTCCACGATCTCTCTTGCCTGCTTGATGATGCCCGAGCAGTCAACCTGTGCCAGCCGCACGAAATTACTCAGTCACAAATCTCTTCGATTTTGTAGCGAAACCGAAAATCGGCCAGGCAACGGTTACGTACCCCGATCACCTTCTTGGCGCCAGCCTGCGCGCAGAACATGGAGAGGATGCCAGTACCGCAGCCAACGTCGAGGACAACCTTATCCTTGAAGAGGGCGGCGTTGTGAAGAATGGCGGCCTGGTACTTGCCCGTTCGCACCTCATCCTTCAACATCTCCTCGTGAATGCCTACAAAATTCGAAAATCGATCAATTTTCTGAAAGCGATTGAAGGAAAAGAGACCAAGAGAACGTACCGAAGTGAGAGTAGGAGTTGAAATAGTAATCATTCTCCGATTTCTCGGCCGAGGCGTCCACAATGAGGCCGCTGTCGGAGGGTTTCGTCTGAGTCGGTTCGATTTCCATGAGGTCTGTGTGTGTAGAGAACTGCGGGCCGATGGGATGAGGCTAGCGAGGGGTTGCGAACTACTCGGTGGAGGAACGAAACAAAGAAGCCAAGAGACAGCCCGCGGGGTTTGCCGCTGAAACGAGCTTTCCCTTCCTCCGTTCCGTTTTTTCTTTTTTCTCTTGCGGAACGGAGTCTGGCGGAGCTTACAAAATAATAAAATAATAAAATAATAATTATCCATAAACGGTGAAAATCAATAAAATAAATACAAAAAAAGGAGGAGAAGAAAGACGGGCATAGGAGGTAAATGTGATGTGCTGAACTCTTACAACGTCATCCCAACACAGCGCTCCTGTTAGCATACACGCAAGGCGACGACAAGGTACGAGGGAGCCGGGTTAGTCCGAGGGCCACACGTGTCATCACCGGTGTGTCAAAAGGAAGGAGGACGATACCTCTTGGACTCGCTTGGCAGGAAGAGCTTGAATTCGGGCGGGAGCTCCTCCTCGGCGTGCGGCTTCTCGGCAAAGTAGATCCGGCGCAGCCGGCAGTTGGCGTGCACTTGTACTGCACCCCACCAGAGCGATGCGCACGCAGCGAGCGACGTAGCATGAAGATGAGTGTTATGCACTTTGCGGCGCGCGTGTGTCTATTGAGCCGTACCTCGCGAAATCTCCACAAATGTAGTGCCGTAGGCCTTACGCATGAGATCAGCGATGTTGAGCTGCACTTGATTCCACCCTTCGGACAGGCGGAGCGGCATTGTGCAGATGTAGGGCTTGACTCGGGCTTGCGTCTTGGCCATCAAATAAAACCGAAGCAAGGAAGCAAGCTTTAGCACCGCCCGCAACAACCAACAAGAAGCTACGCCCAGAAGGCAAAGTCGTGCGCACCTGGTAGTTGGATGCCCGGAATCGTCGCTTGAGCTTCTTGTCGTCCAGTGCCTCGATCTCAAACGAAAAGTATTTGTGCATCTGCACACGCACACCCGGGTCAGGTTGCGCGAGACCATCAAGGAGCAGCAGCAGCATTGGCACTCTCGGTACGCGCGATCACGACAAACGTACGTTCTTTACGAGGAGGACGATGTAGGGCAGCTTGATGCCAAGTGTCTTCTTGGGGTGGGAGGGACACGTGATGTAGACGTCCGCGATGTTCTCGCCCATCACCTCCACCACCTCCGACTGCAGATCCTCATCACGCACCATCTTTACTCCGTCTGTGCGCAACATAGGTGAATTTGCAGTGCTCGATTAAGAGGAAGAGAGAGTGGCATCATACCGGCATTCTCGCCCTCCCACAACTGCAGGGGCCGACTCCTGTTGATCGCAACCGCTTAGGAAACGGATTGGGGGGGGGGCAAAGATGCAATGGTGTGCACAGTGTGGCCACATACCCAAGACTGTACAGGATGGAGAGGTAGCCCGCTTGGAAAGTGTTCTTGAACATCCTGATTGTGCCGTCAGATGCAGACGATTGACTTTTTTATGATTATTTTGTTGTGTTTTATTTTGGTTTTTGTTTTGTTCATTTCTTCTCCACACAAACGTTGCCTTCTTCGCGACTAAAGAAGGTGGGCAGAGAATAGGCTACGTTAGTTAGGGTCTTCTCAAGCCCTCGATGAATGTTGATGTCTCGTCGCTCCGTCACCCAGAGAAGAGCGTCCCGCCACGCCCATCCCCGTTTTCGCATCACGTACAGCACCACCAGCCCCGCCGACCTGCACAACAACGCCAATGCACGCCACCACGCATTAAAGATCAGTCTTTAACAGCACCACGCGCCCTCGCACAAGCAACAGCTCCTCCTACCTGTTGACGCCTCCTCGACAGTGCACAAGAACGCATCCCTTCTCCAGCTCGGCTTCGATGAACTCCAACGCCCGCAGCACATCGCGTGGGGCCAGCATGGCGTTGGCATCCAAGTCGCGGAGAGGCAGGTGGTGGCGCCGGCAGTCGGGCAGACCTGCATAGTGCATTGGGCCACGCCAGTTTGGGACTTAGTGACCATATTGTCAGAGGAAGAAGACGAAGGGAGGATAAGAGGGTACCCTCAACGGTGCTGTAGTGGACGTTGTCGGCTGCATTGATGATGGCGGTGATGTGGAACTCGCGCAGCAGGTGCGAGTCTCGCGTCACCGTACGTCCGCCGCTCAGGTAGAGCCCTCCCTTGCGCGTGAAGGGCTTTTCTCCTACTTCCTCCTCCTCTTCATCATCATCGCGCCACTTCACCTCCCCACCACACGACTTCTCGGAGCCATTGCCGCCATCGACAACGACGGGGTCGAGTATGCACGAGAGGTCGAGGGTGGCCAGAGTAGCTGGCGGACCCCCTCGGCCCTTGTACTTGCCCATCACCCTACCGGACTTGCCGCCACCCCTGTTCTTGCGCATGGCCTTGCTGCCAACTGCACCACCTCCCTTCCTCATGTTTTGTTTGGTGGATGACATGATTGTTTGTTGTTGTCCCGTTGCTGGTGGCATTGTATTTTCTCTTCACGATTCTTATTTTCGCACCATTTTCTCAGTCCAAAAACTCGGAAACGGCCAAATAAAAACGTAATATTATTCTTACGATGGCAGATGTCAGGTAGAGGAAGTGCGGGGGCTTTCGTACCTTGTCACCGGTGGGGGTGGCTACCTTGGTCACCGTCTCATTAAGGTACTTTTACGATTTATAAATCATGTAATCGATGTTTTAATTGCCTCTGGCCTCGCCTTGAGCTCTCAGACGCTGTTAGCAGCCGGGGCAAGCCAAGTGCGAGCGCTCGACCTGCGCGGCCCGCTGCCCGAATGGATGGACGCCCTTCCCACGACCCTCCGTAAGGTGCTTCATCTTGTGTTGCGTGTGGTGTATGCGTGCTGCAGAGCATGTTTTCGGTACGTGCAGTGCCCGTACCCTTCGGGACCACACTGACTGATTGTGCCTCAGACATACGAGCAGCGTGTCGAGTTTATGTTCGCCGATATCAGAGATGCAACGACGGTGCGAAAGGCTGTTGAGGGTGTCGATGTGGTGTTCCACATCGCTTCGTTCGGCATGAGCGGAAGGTACGCGGCGCACTTCATCGCTGCCTCGCGCAGCCCAATGCTCGAGTAGTCAAAACCGACTCTTCCTTCCGCCACACACAGAGAGCAGCTGCAAAGAGAGAAGATCATGGCTGTCAACGTTGGCGGCACAAAGAATCTCATCGACGCGTGCATTGAAACGGGTGTGTCCACCATCGTCTACACCAGGTGCACGCTCCCTTCCTCATACATCGCATTTTGGCAGCATCTCCCTCGGACGACGATGATGTATGACTTACACTCGCCTCCTCTCAGCACCACGAATGTGGTCTTTTCGGGCAACGAACTGCCCAACAAAGACGAAACGCAGCCCTACATCCCACTTGACCGACACGTCGATTACTACTCGCGCACCAAGTCCATCGCTGAACAGGTGCGTTTCCTATTGTGTGCGTGTGCGTGTGTGATGGTACGTGGCCGTGGCCGTCTCGTTCCTCACCTGGTATTTATTGGGGGTAGACGCTTCTGGCCGCAAGTGGAGCGCCTCTGAAGAAGAAGGCGCGGGACGGGAGGGACAAACTGCTCACGTGCGCCATTCGCGCTGCTGGTATCTATGGCGAGGTGCGTGGCCGGCCCACTGGCAGAAAAAGGCAGGCGATTCATCATCGCTCGTCGAGACTGACTGACCGCTAATCCTGCTCCGCAGGGAGAGGAGAGGCATTTGCCACGCATCGTGGATCTGATCAAGAAGGGCATGTTCTGCTTCACGGTCGGCCGAGCAGACGCCAAGGTTCGTCCCATAATTTTTTCCACCGCTTTTATTCGCTCCCCTTATGGAGTACGAGGGAGCAGCTTTGTCATCGATGTTGCTGGTTACAGAGCGGGTGAAGGAAGCTACACTTCTCCCGTCTAAGCGTCAGCATAGAGCCAACCTTTTTTTTGTCTTTCATGTATATTTTTGATTATTTTATCTTTTAATTCCGGTAAAGCTTGTACCGCGAAAAACGTGCCATGCACTAACTCATGTGCTGGCACATACAATCCAAGCCACATCCACTCCATTTAAACCGCTCATGGCTCTCCTCGCGCTCACATACTCATTTTGTTTACTTGGAGTGCAGGTCGAGTTCGTATATGTGGAGAATCTGGTGCATGCGCACATTCTCGCGTCTATCCAGCTTCATGATCATCGAGATGGTTTGCCTTCCATTTTGACCTTTTCGTCCTTGTGCTTTACTTTATTGGCTATCCCTAACACGCACGACTACGTGAACACAGACGAGGGAACGAATCGTTGTGCGGGACAGCCGTACTTTATCTCAGATTGGGAGCCCATCAACAACTTCCTCTTCTTTCGCCCTCTGCTCGAGCTCTACGGTTACTCTTACCCCACTCTCCAGCTTCCTGTCGCGCTCATGTTCTACCTCGCCTTGTGTATCGAATTCACCCATCGGTATGCGACCGCCGCCGGATTGATGATTCTTGTTCCTTGTCTAATGTTGTGGCGTGGGTGGTGACGACGTCACGGGCGCACAACAGGGTGGTGGCGCGAGTCTATAACTTTCAGCCACTGTTGACACGAGCAGAGGTGTTCAAGGTGGGTGTCACCCACTACTTCGTACCGGACAAGCCCAAAAAGGATCTCGGGTGCCAACACCTTTGATCGCATTTTCGTCGTTTTCGTTCTTCTCTTCTGCGGCCTACTAACCCCCTCCAGGTACCGACCGTTGGTGACGATGAAGGAGGGGATGGGCCGAGTGCTCGCCTACTACGCGGAGAAGGACATCGCCTTCATCGATGGCAGCAAGAGGAAGAACCTTCTCGAACAGATCCAATCCCTGCTCCCCGTCATCTTGCTTGTCATCGTTGCTCTCTATGTCGCCAATAAGTTTTTGCTGTGACAAGCAAGCACAATGTGGTCTAGGCGTAGCCCACTGAAGGGCATGGCCTTGTTGGTGTAAAACTCCGCGCCTCGCCACTGCAGCAGTGCAAGGCTCCTATTGTAAGATTCCAATGTGTTGAATCAGAACCGGTGGCTTCTGGTTTTGTGGTGGCGAGGGAGTGCCTTGGTGCTGGGTCGTTCTGGACTCGATCGGCACTTCGCACAACCTGCGGGCCGTAAGTCTCAGTCATTCATCACCTGCTGAATGAGGGTTGCCTCAAAGCTAAAGTGGATGTCAAAAAAGCGTTCAACGTTTAGCTTCATTCTTCTGGCAGTACTCATGCAGGATCATAAAGAGATTCTTCATCTTCTGGTGTCTCATGCTCTTCCCCCTCCTCCTCTTCAGGTTTGCACTCGCCGAGTCCGCTTGGCCACTCATCGACGAAGCTTCACCTGCCCAAGTCATTTCCCTTCCTCTCTTCTGTCGCAAAGGACAGTTTCCCGCCTTTCTGGCAGAGCATATAGTTTCCATTCCTTTGTTTTCCCTCCCGATTTTCCGTTCAGGCCAAAGAGCGCAACAAACCGGAATAAAGCTGGGATGGACAAAAGCCCGAGAGAAAAAACAGAGAAATACGGGGTTTATGAAGCGGGTTTGTCGAGTTTGCCAATCTCTTACCTCACCTCCCCACCCACACCACCCAGCACTCGCCCAGCCCCACCTCTCCTCGTCTTGCAACGAAGAAGGTGCGAGATGGTAGTCCCGACACACGTCCCAGGTCGGCCTCCGGCACACGTCCCGAAGGCCGGAGTTGATTTTGTCGACACTCGTTCTCTTCGGTAGCTTCCAATTATTTTCCCACAACGGCAGATCAAAGCGAGCCACGATTTTGTTTCTTGCCTCATCCGCAATCTGATGGAGGCCGGTACGTTGTCTCTTTTGGCCTCCGCAAATCTCTTGAGCGAGCTGTCGCCGGCTCTTACCTTTTTGTCTTGTCATTCTATGCAGTACCGGAAAGCATATCGTTCCCTAAGACGGAAGAGAAGATCTTGGCCTACTGGGAAAAGATCGATGCATTCCAAGAGTCGCTCCGACGCTCCGAGGGTAAGCCGGAGTACTCATTTTACGATGGTCCGCCGTTTGCCACTGGCCTGCCGCACTACGGCCACATCCTCGCCGGTACCATCAAGGTAAGTGCCAAGTGTAGAACGTCTTTAGCCAAGATCTTTTGCTCACCACTTGATCTGTGCGCAGGACACGGTTACCCGCTACGCTCATCAGACTGGCCATCATGTAACTCGGCGATTTGGTTGGGACACTCACGGTAAACCAGCATTCTTCTACACGCCTTCTTCGATCTTTTTATCTGACATTTGATTTGCGACAGGACTGCCTATCGAGTTTGAAATCGACAAAGAGCTTGGCATTAAAACTCGCGATGACGTCCTCAAGCTGGGAATTCCCAAGTACAACGCCGAGTGCCGCAAGATCGTGATGCGATACTCTTCGGAATGGGAGAAGATCGTCGGACGACTGGGCAGGTGGATCGATTTCCAGAATGACTACAAGACGCTCGATCCGTCCTTCATGGAGAGCGTGTGGTGGGTCTTCAAGAAGCTCTACAAGAAGGGTCTCGTCTACCGAGGTTTCAAGGTCCGCATTCTTTCCATTCACCCAAGTCCACTCTTTCAATTCGCTCACCCGCTTCTTCAGGTCATGCCGTACTCAGTCGGTTGCTCCACCCCTCTCTCCAACTTCGAAGCGAACATGGCCTACCGTGACGTTAGGGACCCCGCTGGTAACCTTACTCTCCTCCTCGCTTGAGCATGGCGCAGTTCCCCATTAGTGTTGCCCTTCAGGGGGTGTAAACCTCTGTTGGGTGTCAAAATATGGGGTAGAAGAACGAAACGTACCGTTCTCTTATTCGTATGCCCCAGTCGGCATACGAATATAATGGGGTTTCTACATCACAAGCAACCTTCAGCCTAGGCTTATTAATTGGCGCTCGTCGTTCGCACCGGCTTACCTTGTGCGTTGTTTTATCGACAGTGGTTGTTTCGTTCCCGCTGGTCGATGAACCCGAGACCAAGCTGGTGGCCTGGACCACTACGCCCTGGACCCTTCCCAGCAACTTGGCGCTCTGCGTCAACCCCGACCTTGACTATGTGAAGCTCAAGGGTACGCGCGTCTTGCCTATTTTCCAACTTTCGTATTTACCAACGACTCACCCCGGTCTTTGCAGATAAGAAGACCGGCGAGGTGTACATCCTGTGCGAGGCGCGAATTGCTCAGCTCTACCCGCCCACGAAGAAGGGTAAGCCCGAAGACGAGTACGAGGTGCTCGACAAGTTCAAGGGCATCCAGCTCAAGGACAAGCAGTATGTGCCGCTTTTCCCCTACTTCGAGAAGGTATTTCCCTCATTCCCGTAGCCTTTCCACCACGCCACAATGATGCTTTTTGACCATCAAATTCAGCAATTGCGTTGCAAGGTGTTGACACTCTCAATCTCTGAGCCACTTTTCTTAACTGCCACCACCGCCAGTCATCGTATGGCCATAGACTGACCACTTGCTTACAGGAACGCGAGAACGGCGCTTTCCGCGTGCTGGCCGATTCGTACGTCACGTCCGACTCAGGTACCGGCGTGGTCCATTGCGCTCCCGCGTTCGGTGAGGACGATTTCCGCGTGTGCGAGCTGGGCAAGGTCATCAAGAAGGGTGGCGAGGGCGTCCCCTGCCCCGTCGATGCCAGCGGCCGTTTCACCGAGGACGTTCCCGACTACAAGGGAATCAACGTCAAGGACGCCGACATCGAAATTATCAAGAGGCTCAAGACCAACAAGCGAATGGTGCAGAGCGGCACCATTCTCCACAGCTACCCCTTCTGCTGGAGGTACCTCTTCCTTCCCCTGACAATTCCCAGCTTCTCTAAATGATGAGAAAAAAAGACACCTCTAGAATGAATCCTAGTGATTAGAAACTTTTCTAGCATTTCTGAAATCGATGCATCGTTTTCCGTGTCACCCTCTCAACCGCCGTCCGCTCTTGTCTAACAACACCTCTTGTGCTTTGATGCAGGTCTGACACTCCGCTGATCTACCGAGTTGTCCCCAGCTGGTTCGTGGCTGTTGAGAAGATCAAGGACAGCCTCTTGGTCAACAACGCCGAGACCTACTGGGTGCCCGCCTGGGTCAAGGAGAAGCGATTCCACAACTGGCTCGAGGGCGCTCGCGACTGGGCCGTGTCGCGGAATCGTTTCTGGGGCACTCCTCTTCCGATGTGGGTCAATCCCGACCACCCCGAGGAGGTACATACCCCCACCCTCTCTGTCCCTTCCTGCTCCCGATCCTGTGAATTTACCTCCGCCCGCCAACTTCAGATGATTTGCGTTGGTTCCATCAAGAAGCTGGAGGAGCTCACCGGCCAGAAGGTCACCGATCTTCACCGCGAGAGCGTCGACGACCTCACCATTCCCTCGCCTTCGGGTCGCGGCGTCCTCCGAAGGACCGAGGAGGTGTTCGACTGCTGGTTCGAGAGCGGTAGCATGCCCTACGCCCAAGTCCACTACCCCTTCGAGAACAAGGAGCTCTTCTCGAAGTCCTTCCCTGCTGACTTCATTGCCGAGGGTATCGACCAGGTATGTTACACCGTACCTCTATTTTCAGCTCTACTTTCGTATTGATGAATGGTATATCCAATTGAGGTCTCTCAATGAGAAACACAAAATTAACCTACTGCCTTCCTACTGAATACAATTACTCCGCCAATTCTTGATCCCGCGCTCAAGTGAAGCTCGTTTTGCTTACGGCCTCCCTCATCATCATTCAGACTCGTGGTTGGTTCTACACCCTGCTCGTTCTGTCGACGGCTCTGTTCAACAAGCCTCCCTTCAAGAATCTGATCGTCAACGGCCTCGTCCTTGCTGCGTACGCTCCCTCCACCAACCACTCGTTTCTCTCTATCTTCTGGAAGACGTAGAATGATGACTATTGTTGTCGCCCCAGACAGAATCACTATGTTGATTGACCTTTTTAAAACTGATACTCTTTACTATAGTCTTATCTCTTCTCTTTCACTCTTCTACCGTCGTCTGTTTACTTACCTCCCCGCTATTTACAGTGATGGCAAGAAGATGAGCAAGAGGCTGAAGAACTATCCCGACCCTGTGATCGTCATCGACCAGCATGGCGCCGACGCGCTCAGGCTCTACCTGATCAACTCGCCCGTCGTGCGCGGTGAAGAACTCCGATTCGTGGAGAAGGGCGTCAAGGACGTCGTCAGGGATGTGTTCCTGCCCTGGTTCAACGCCTACCGATTCTTCGCTCAGGGCGTGACTCAGCTCGAATCGGTATGCGCCGCACACATGCCCTCTGCATTCGCAGCCCAGTCTTGTGCTTACCTCTCTGCTCTCGTATTAGTCCGGCGCCAAGTTCGTTCCTGATGAGCAAGTGGCTGTGGCCTCTGACAACGTGATGGACAAGTGGATCCTCTCCTTGACCAACACTCTGCTCAAGTTCGTGCAGGAGGAGATGGCTGGTACGCGTCCCCCCCCCAAGAATGTGTTTTTCTTTGTGCGCGGTGTGCTGGCGGTGGCCCTACCCGAAGACAACCAACAATACCCATTGAAAGCCCACTATATAATGGTGGACAGCTTTTAAGAATGCGTTGGGAGAATCAACTTCGGGGTCAACCACTGTCTTTCCTGACTATCGGGCGAGACCAAGGATAACTTCGGGACACTCACCTTATTCTCTTCTCTCCTCTCTTCTTTCGTACACAGCCTACCGCCTCTACACCGTGGTCCCCAAGCTGGTGAGCTTCATCGACCAGCTGACCAACTGGTACATCCGACTCAACCGCAAGCGCATCAGGGTACGCACCTTCAACCGCGTCTTTGCCCTCCTCCTTCCCCTCAATCGCTGATGCAACAACTCTGGCCCGAATTACACTGTGGGTTCCAAACCTCTAAGAAGTTCTGACACAATTACAATTTGTTCCTCTTCTCTTCGCAACCCCCGCGTGCTTATGCTGACCGCGTGGCTTTCTATCTCCAACCCTTCTAGGGAAATGACGGTGACCAGGAGCGCCTCTACGCCCTCAACACCCTCTTCATCGTCATCTTGACCATCACCAAGGCGATGGCGCCCTTCACGCCCTTCTTTACGGAGTACCTGTACCAGAACCTGCGCGTCCTTCTGCCGGCCGACCAGCGCGAGGACAGCGTGCACTACATCATGTTCCCCGCTCCCCGCGACGAGTTCATCAACCTCGAGATCGAGGAGTCCGTCGCCCACATGCAGAGCACCATCGAGCTGGGTCGTGCGGCCAGAGACAGGAGGAAGATGCCCCTCAAGGTACCTCGTCACCCCACTCAACTCACTTTATCTCTCTCGTCCAATTCGTGCTTCGCTGATGTAACAACTCTGGCCCGAATTATACTGTGGGTCCAATCCTCTAAGAAGTTCTGATACAAGCCGAAATTTCATTCTCTATCTTCTCTCCGGTCTTGTGCTCTTTGCCGATCTCACTCACTCGCTCGCTTTGTCTTGTACCGCACAGTACCCGCTGATCGATCTCACCGTCGTGAGCGCCAACGAGAAGCCCCCCCCCTGGCCTCGTACATTCGCGCGGTAAGTCTCCCCTCTTCTCCCTTCACATAACAAACGAGTAGAATGATGACTATTGTTGTCGCCCCAGACAGAATCACTATGTTGATTGACCTTTTAAAACTGATACTCGTTTGCTATCCGATCTATCTATCCTATTCACACACCTCGCCTTCGTCGGTCACTGACCTGTTATTCCTCTCCGCTGTGCTGTGTAGGAGCTCAACATCCGATCTGCTGTGGTGACCTCCGACGAGGG